AATTATTAAAAGGGGGTCGTTTTCAAAAGAAAGCCTAGCATTAACATCCATTTTACAATACCAGCTGTCTTCTGGGAACAGAAGGGATTTCTTGCGTTGCCATTTGGGTGACCATCAACAGGCTTACTCTATTGATTCACAGAATTACATTAGAAGGCTTTAGTCCTTTTCACAGCAGCTTTGTGGTTTTTGATAAGTTCACAGAGTCGGGAAATGGAGAGCAAAAACGTTCAGGAAGGTCAATGAAGAACTTAACAAGGGAAAGGATTGATGGGCCAACAAGCCAACAAAAGGCCTGTCCTATCCATTACTGCCAAGCAGGGACACACACATTCACACACAGCTAATATGTTGCTTCTAATGACATCATCCACTTGTTGCATGTGCTGCTCACACTTATCCTCCACCTGTTATTCCTCACAAATCAACTTGTTGGAGTCAGTGAGCTTAAAGAGGATTTCCAGTATAGACAGTCAAGCTGTGCGCAGAACACACTGCCAAATCATAAGAGAGCTTAATTCTCCCAAGCACCGGAAACAACTGCTTCTCAATGTGTGAATGCGTGTCTGTATTTACAATGAAGATCCTTAGGAAGATACATGACGTTTTTGAATGTTCGTAAAAAGCCCATGATCGCCATCTAGTGGAGGTGAGAAAGATGACTCCTGACATGTAAAATGAAAGTATTTCAAGAGTTGTAAGTCACATGCAGCAGGACAGGTCTTAATTGTATCAAATGTATTTTTATTCAAGGGAATCTGGATCCAATAAATCACAGAACAGCGCTGAAGAGAATTGCTCAATTGGGGTCTACAGTATGTGTTTAACATTACAAACCACAATTGCCTTTTTCTAAACATTGTGCCACCAAAATTATTTATTGTAAGCATTATTTATTTTGAATACAACAGGTATAAAAGTACTACAGTCACACTCCTATGCTTTATTTCTCTTCTCACAAAATCCTGCTTATTTAGAATTGTTATATGGTCTGGTGAAGTTATTGTTACACTTATTGTTTTCCATTACTGATGAAGAGAACAGCACTGTGTATGATACTCTTTTTAATTCATAGCAAAGCCATTAATAAACAATTTCACTAAAATGAGGTATGGAAAATAAAACGAGATTATTGAATTTGACACAAAATGGTAATTAGAGTTTTAAGACTGGCATGGTAACTTGCTGAGCTGAGAAAAATCCACCACCAGAGGGCACCAATAATATTTAGTATAGTTCAGCTCTGCCATTATTGACAGTTTGCTTTCTTCATAACAGTATAAAACGTGCTGGATATATAAGAAGGTGTTTTACAGCTCACATGGAACACCTTCAACACACACTGTCAGGGAACTACTGGTGTTACTGAAAAGAATGAGTGGTCGTTGTTTAAGGTTGTTTTGAGTTTCCTGAAGCCTTGTGAGAACCTTTGGATCAGAGGTTCAATACCAAGCATCAGTGCTTTCCTTCAGTGTCAGTCTATTTCAGTCCTGTTACCAGCTTATGGTTTCAGCATGTACACTGAATCCACAATACGCTCTCAGTCCACTGTAACACCTTCAGGCAGCTCCACCACCACAGGGGCGTAGTCGTCCAAATCTGCATCAAAGTCCCAGCGAAACTTCTTGGTCAGATGAGCTTTGAACTTCTCTGCTCTCTTCCGCAGCGTGCCGTCTACACCGGGTCCACTGGCAAACTGGAAAAGGTCCTTGAAGAAAATGAGCCAAACAATGTAATAATTTGTAATTGTAAAACGTAAACATCCTTGATAATAATACAAATAATTATTTATGCAACTCCTTAAGATTCTATTTTCAGGGTCTCTTAAATCCTGTAGAAGATAAGATTACTGTTGTGGTGAATGTGAGCGTTCAGGAGAGGTAGAATCAGGTACAATACTAGGACTTGACTTGTTTCAAACTTGACTAATTTCTAGGGCTGTCCCGAATACAATTTTTCGGGCTCCGGATATTCGGTATTAATCAGCAGCGAATATTCGGTGCGGAGAGATTCATATTTTTTTTTTTATACAATCTTTTCAAAAAAAATTTTTTTTCCAAAAAGGTTTCATAACACGCTCCGAATCCGAGACACCTGACAACACGCTGTTAAGCAGAAGCGCAGAAAGAGCATACTATTACGATTTATATTTATTTATTGTCTCAGTACTCGTAAACATTAAAACTAAATGTGTC